TTTTCTTCCAGTTTCACCTGCCTTGCCTCCCCCAACTCCCAAACAGTGATAAAATCATTACAGAACAATGTGGGTGGTAGGGAGAAGAAACAAGAGCCTGACTTGATTAGTTTGGCAGTCCCCCGGAAAGTGGTCGCACTTGACAGACCAGAGGAGTGGGAACTAGAAAAGGAAGTTGAATATTTTCATTTCCAATTAACCAAAGCGGCTGGTCTCACGTTAACTTTATAAACAAGGGCTGACAGTGTACTGGTTAGTGAATGGGATTAAGAATTCCCAGTTAGGATGCCTGACCAAACCTCTCCCATACATCTTTGGCTTACACCCACAAGTGCAAAATTCACAATCTCTAAAAAGCCATCAAAGGACTAAGAACAATGTTTCAGGCTAGCACAGTTTTCTCAAAGCCTGAGTCATCAACCAGGTGGATCACTAATGACTTGATCCTATCTCAATCAGCTAGTTAGCCTTCGGGAACCAGATTTAGAAATTAAGCCTGAAGATACTTCCCTAAACAACAGCTTTTGACATCATCTCTTTTGCCTTTCACCATTGCCATGTCAAAGGCAAGGAGGATGATCTACATGAAAAAGTAAAGACATAAAAGCATGGGAAATCAGTTTTGTTTTTATTTATAAATAGCTTTACCAACCAATCAACAGGCTGAAACCTGAGGCTATTTTCCTTCCCCCCAAATTAAAAGCCACTGTGCTAAAATACTAACAGTTCTTTAGCTACACTAGGGATTGATTGAGAAGGCCACCCTCCACCCTTTATTCACAACACAACATTGGCTCCTAGTGTCCAGAAAGACATGCACGGAAAGAACGCAGAGTTAGCTAAAGAAATACCACAGTTTATTGAAGACTACAAATATTTTTGTTACAAGTTGGAACTACATGCCTTCCAGAAATCAAAAGCAACAGCAGGTGTGTGCATTGATGCTTCGGAGGTGCTGCACCGCTTGAACTCGAAATGGGTAAGACAGGGTCAGACACATGGGGGAGAGGGAAATGGGGAGGGGCAAGTTCAAAAGCCCAGAAGGTATCCACCAACTCATTTCCCCAAGCCATGGCCTCAGCTCAGCAGGCTCTCCTCAGTGGTCTGGTTTCTGAAACAAGACTTCAGTGCAAATTTATACACACACACAAAACACAGCCCCCAGGCTTGGGCCAAATTAGCTCTCAGCCGTCCAGAAATGCTTGTAAGGGGGTGGATATTTTCTTCCTAAAAGGAATCAAATACATAAAAATAAATGAATTTAGAGGTTGATGAGGAGTAGAATGACAAGAGCCCTCTGTGGGGTTGTGAACTGGGGGTTCTCAAAAGGCTGCTATAACCAATTTCTGAAATCTTAAGGGAAATAAGAATTTTTAAAATCAGATTCCAACTCATACTATCAATTACATTCCTTTTTCTTTTCTTTTCTTTTCTTTTTTTTTTTTTGACTTTTTTGAAACAGGGTCTCCCTGTAGCCCCAGCTGTCCTGGAACTCACTATGTCGACCAGGCTGGTCTCGAACTCAGAGATCCACCTGCCTCTGCCTCCCAAGTGCTGGGATCAAAGGCATGTGCCACCATGCCCAACTCAATCACATTCCTTTTGATATGCTTTAATGGGACAGCTAACTAGGGCTTTAAACCTAACGTTAAGTGTTGGGATGAAGCCACTCCAAGTCAAAAGGATTAAGATAGGCCTTGTTCAGTGAGAAGAGTAGATATGGGTTTTAAATCTCAAAGATCAAGATTTAAAAATTTTTTTTATTATGACCCACTCTTAAAGCCATATAACTCAATTCAAAGTTCCATCTTGCTATCAATATCTAAACCCATTTATTGTTTTCTGCATTCAAGTCTTCTAATTACTGAAAACCTTGGGCATTTACCCACCCAGAGCCCACACAAGGATGAAGAACATACACTGCTCCCTCTTAAGCCCATGAAACTGTAATCAGCTGCAGGCTTTTAAAGATAATTCTCAAGTCTAACCAACCCCTGGCATTTGCAACAACTACCTCCCCAAACCCACCTAAAAGTCACTAAAAAAAATTACATGGAAGTAGGTTTGGTGTGGCACACGCCTATAATCCTAGTAAAGAGGTAGAGGCAGGAAGATCGCCAAAAGTTTGAGGCAAGCTTGGGCCACAGAGAGATCTTGTCTTAAAAAATAAAAACCAACTGGAAAAAAAAAAAAAAAATCCCACCAAAAAACCCCCACAAACAAAGTATTTTTCTCATTTCATCTTCCAGAAGTGGGGCACAGATGTCAGAAATAGAACTAGGCTATCAGTCATGTATCCAGAGGATCCCTACACTTCACTCTCTGCTATCAGATGTGCAAAAAGACTTTACACGAAGACTAGCCATACAAGTGAAGAAACCTAAGGGTTTAATTCTCTCTATGAGTAGTCCTGCCTACTCATTTCTTGCCACATCGTAGGTCTTCTAGTTAGGGAATAAAAAGGGAGTCATGTAACAAAATTAGTAGTATTAAAAAAAAAAAAAAGGTCAAATCTATTATGTATGTTATTGTTATGAGGAAGAGGGAAACAGGAAGTTGTATTATGTCTGTTAGGTATAAAAGCATTTAAGTCTTCAGCAATCTTATACTGCCAATACCATCCATACTGCCATTTGCATTCATTGACACTACGGTGAAATCTTGGGGCCTCTGTCTTACTTCTTACCCAAACCTCAGGTCCGCCAACTTATTTTAATTAGCTAACACATGACTTTGAGCATTCCCACCATGAGTAGTGGACACATGTCCTAGCATCAAGCTGCTTCTGTTTTCAGACACCTAAATCAACCAAGCAATGATAATCATGTAAAGACTAACAGACCCTCACTGACCTACTTTCTCAAGCACCAAGTCTTTCTCCAAACTAGTAATATCCCACACAGACCAATCAGCCAGGGCCAAAGGGAACTTACCAGTGTTATATCCATGAGACCCATATCCACTTGGCTGTTGGAAAGGGGTGGCCGAGGCATTCACACTGACATTCACACCATGCTGCTTGGAAGAGGTAGGAGCCACCTGAAGAACAAAAGGGACAGAAACACAATGAAACAGCAACAGATACCATTTGTCCCACTTGTCCTAATCCAAGAACTAAATGTTTAGTTGGATACATATCCTAAGGTAGGCTGACCAAAGTTTTAATAGCGAAAATGAGATTCTTACTAATTGTGATGTCAATGAGTAATGTCCCCCCAATAGGCTCATGTATCTGAACACTTGGTCCCCAGTTGGTGGCGATGTTTGGGGAGGTTATAGAACCTTTAGGAGGTGGAGCCTCCCTGCTGGAGGAATGTGTCACTGGGTCAGGCTTTGAGGAATTATAGCCTCTGCCACTTTCTGGTCTCTGTTTTCCTGTATGTGGATGAAAATGTAGTCAGCCAGTTTCCCACTCCTGCCATCTACCATCCTTTACCTGACATTATGGACTCTCCCTCTGGAACTGTAAACGTAACTAAAATAAACTCTTTTGTAAGTTACTTTTGGTCATGGCATTTCATCACAGCAACAAAAGTAACTAATACGCTGATTTTCAGAATTTACCTGTGAAGTCAAGAGGTAGGATCACATTTGGAAGAAAAAGGCAATGGTAATGGGGAAAGAACAAGCCAGCAAGATGTGGATCATGATCCTAAAATGAAGCAATCCCTGTTCTAATTGTAATTCCATATTCCCTCTTCCCAGCCAGAAACAGGCCAAAGGTAGAAGTTGTTCCTCATTTATTACTGAATAGTCATTCAGTCTTGAAGACTGCTAAGGATAGTGTCCATAGCTAGGATCCTTCACCATAATGAGTGACAGTCAGTTACTTACAGGAAACACAGCAGGCCCATACTGGAAGGTGCTGGGGAGGCCTGGGACCCCTGTGTAGTATGGCAGGCTGGTGTAACTGTAGCCAGGAGGCAGCGCCGGGTTCAGGAATGTCTGCTGCGTGGTATGGTGAGTCTGCGTCTGGTTCTGCTGGGGTTGGGCCAAGGTTGTGGCTGGGGCTGGAGAGGAGGCATCCCCACGGCCAAACTTGGTGAGGTCACCTGTGAAAGGAAAGGCTAGCTGAACAGTGTACAATGAGGCTCTCATGACTTTCTGCCAGCTTGCTTTCTTTCACCTCCATCTTACCCCTTTTTCCTATCCTTTGCTCCTCCAGGGGCTTAAAAACCACCATCACCACCACCAAAAACAAAACCAAACAACAAACCTAAGCAATGCAATGAGACTGCTACTGTGTATAGGGTACAGTGGCAAAGAGGAGTATAGAAAGTCAATTCAACCATCATACTTCTTGGGAAAAGGTGGAGAATAAGATCAAACAAGTTAACTGGGAATATAAAATAGTTCAGTGCTAGAGCTTGTGTTTAGCATGTATGAGGTTCTATATTCAATATCCAGAACCACAAAACAAACACAAACACACAAACACAAAACAACAAAAACCACAGTGCTTGGAAATAGGGAGAAAATAGAAAGTAAAATGTAAATGAGAAAGACAGCCAGTAGAGGTGCTGCCCACCTTTAATCCTAGCACTCGGGAGGTAGAGGCAGGCAGATCTCTCGGCAATCCAGACCAGCCTGGTCTACATAGTGCATTCTAGTCCAACTGGGGCTACAGGGAAACGCTGTCTCAAAATAAATAAATAAAAAGATGCCACATTCCCATCTTTAACAGGACGTTGAATCTGTCAAGCCTGATTCATCACATTCATATAAAAAAATCACACTTCGGCCAAAAAAAGGCTTAACATGACACGAACAGGAGTCTTTCTTACTACTAATTTCTACTTCCAATCCCAATATATTTCCCTGTTCAGCCCCAATCCCAATCCTACCAGAGTAAGGGTTGCTGGCCAGGCTACCATCCCTCCCAGTCAGTGGAGTGGTGGGTGTAGGAAACGGGATACTGTAGTAATCCTAGAACCAAAAGAACAGAGATTAAATTCTATCTACTCCCCAAGCATGAAAACCAAAAGACAGAGGAAGCAGAAGAATGTTCAAGTACTGCAGTTTACCCAGTTACTGACTAAACAGGTTAGAGTTAGCATAAACTCCAATTACTTTTGCATATACTATCGCCCCTGCCCTGCCTAGCCATGAGTAGAGCCAGGCAAGGTATGCTTGCTGGAAACACATCAAGGTTCAGACCAAAAAGATGCTCAACCTTCGAAAGACTTATAGCAAATTTTGAGGAAAGAGGTGGTTCTTTCTGTTATTTAAAAGTGCTTAAGACGTTGAGTGTGGGGATGGAGAGATGGCTCAGCTGGTAAAAGTGCTTACTGGATAAGCATGAGAATCTGCGGTCACATCTCTGGCATCCATGTTTTTAAAAAGCTGAGTATGACTACACATATGCCTATTAACACCAACATGGGGGGGGGGCGCGGGTTGTGGGGGCAGTCAAGAGTGATAAATCCCTGGTCCTCTGGAAAAGCAGTCAGTGCTCTTAACTGCTGAGCCATCTCTCCAGCCCAATTTAAAAATTTTTATTTTATGTATATAAGTGTTTTGCCTACATGTAAGTTCACCATGTGAAGGCTGAAGAGGCCATGGGATTCCCTAGGACTGGAATTATAGATGGTTATGAGTAGCTATGTGAGTGCTAGGAACCAAACCCAGGTCCTCTGCAAGAACAACAAGTACTTATAACTGCTGAGCCATGTCTCTAGCCCCTTAGGAATGTTTTTAACTCCTGGTCTTCCTGTCTCCATGTCCCATGTGATTACAGGCATGCACAACAACTGGCTCCAACATTAATTTTAACGTTCTTTTCCAAATCTGTATCCCACATACTCACCAATGGAAATCTTGTCTGAAGCATCTGTAAGTCATCATAGCCATATACTTGTGGCTGCAAGATATAAATGTTTAACAATATTAATTGGAAATGATTTTGGTATAGAAGGCAACATAATTCAATAGGACACTGATCCTCATTTTTAGAACAAGACAGATTACTTTCTTCAGTTTCTTTAAGTGAAAAGAAAGAGGTCTTGAAATTTTCCTTAAGCTACAAACTACTCATTGGACTAGGCTGACACCTAGAACCAGCAGGTGAGGACGGGTAGACACAAGTTCATGAATGGCAGGTTTTACCTTCTATCTGGCAGTCACTATCTCTTACAGACTTTCAAAATCTGGATTAAAATTTCTCTTTCCTGGAAGGATTCACGTTTTACTCTCATTCCCCATTATTTCTAGGTACGAAGTGTTATTGTTAAAAAGTAGATAATGCAGGTAGGCATGGTGGTATACACCTTTAATCTTAGTACTTGGGAGGCAGAGACAGGTGAATCTTTTTGAGTTTGAGGACAGCCTAACTATATTCCAAGTTCCAGGCCAGCCAGGGCCAACTATGAAACTAACTGAAACAAAGTAGGCAATGACAAAAACACATTTAAGGAGGAGACAAGTGAATGAGAAATGTTGGAAAGGAGGGTTCCAGAGGGAATGGGAGGGGTAGTTATGATCAAAATATATGTAAGTATAAATTAATAAAAAAAAATAAGTGTGGCAAGGCTAGTTAGACATATGTATATTATCTAAACTTCCTCACCAACGGTAACAATAGGTGTTCGGGTTACTTCAGTATTTTATTTATTTTATGCATATGTGTTGCCTGCACTTAAGTGTGCCCCATCCTGCAATGCCAGCAGACATCATTAGAGGGTGTTGGATCCTGTGAACCTGGAATAATGGATGGTTGTTAGCCACCATCTGACTGTTGGGAACTGAACCCAGATCCTCTGCAATGGTAGCCAGTCCTCTTAATTGCTGAGCCATCTCTCCCAACTCCAGCAATAGGTGTTTATAAATACAATTTTCATCAACATTTTTCATCTTAAAGTGTACTGAATACTTGAAGGAAATAAAAGATATACCGAGACAAAATGCTACTACTGTCAGTGATCTATTCTTTTTTTTTTTTTGTCTTTTTGAAGCAGGGTCTCCCTGTAGCCTCAGCTGTCCTGGAACTCACTATGTAGACCAGGCTGGACTTGAACTCACAGAGATCCGCCAGCCTCTGCCTCCCAAGTGCTGGGACTACAGGCGTGCGCCACCATGCCCGGCTGATCTATTCTTAAGATAGCTCCAGACTGAGTCAGAAAACCCTGTTCTAAACAGGTCAGAACCAACAAAGATCCACAGATGTAGAGAATCAATACAACACTATGAAATGGCAACCAAGAAACTAAACATTCCGTTTTTAGCACTTGATATCCAGAAATTTGATTTCACCCAAAATGGAAACCCAACAAGGGGTCTACGTTAAGTTTAGTCCTCCCTCTAAACAACTTGTTACTTTTTGGGCTGACAAGATGGCTCAGCAGGTAAAGGTGCTTGATACCAAGCAGTGCAAGTCCGACTGGAACCCACATTAGGGTGGAATGAGGCTGACTCCACAAAGTAGTCCTTCCTGCAAGTGAAAGTATACAAATACCCACAGGCAGACGGAGGTAGAAATGGGTGGATCTCTGTGAGTTCAAGGCCAGCCTGGTCTACATAGTGAGTTCCAGTCCAACCAGGGCTACATAGTGAAACCCTGTCTCAAAAATAAAACAATTTTAAAAATTTAGCTGGGCGTGGTGGCAAACGCCTTTAGTCCCAGCACTTGGGAGGCAGAGGCAGGCAGATCTCTGAGTTCCTGGCCAGCTGGTGCTACAGGGAGACCCTGTCTCAAAAACACCAAAAATAAGTAAATAAATAAATTAAAAAAAAAAAAAAAAATTTAAGGGGCTGGAGTGATGGCTCAGTGGTTAAGAACACTGGTTGTTCTTGTAGAAGATCCGGGTTTGAATTGCAGAACCCACATGGCAGCTAACAACTGTCCGTAACTCCAGTTCCAGGGGATCGGACGGCCTCTTCTGACCTCTGAGGGCTCTGCAGGACATGGGTGCACTTACCTACATGCAGGCAATACACACATACACATGAAATAAAAATTTTTTAAAAATTTAAACTGGGGCTGGGGAGATGGCTCAGCCAGTGATGAAGAGCATATACTGTTCTTGCAGAGGACCCAACTTCAGTTCCAGTACCCATGTTGGGTACCTTACAACTGTCCCTAACTTCAGCTTCAAGGGCATTCAACTCATCAGGCCTCCTTAGGCAACTGCACACTGCACAAACCCACACACACTGACACCCACCAAAATTAAAGAAAAAAAAAAAAAGTTGAAAATTTTTAAACTGTTAGTTTTTTTTTAACCAGAGATTGGGGACCGGAGATATGGCTCAGTGGTTAAGTGTTTTTGCAGGGGGCCTGGGTTCAGTTCCCAGCACATACATGGTGGTTGACAACCATCTGAAACTCCAGTTTTGGGAGCTCCAACATTCTCTTTTGGCCTCCACGGGCACTGCACGCACAGGTGCACTTACATACATACAAGCAAAACAGTCATACATATAAAATTAAAATATTTTATTTTTTTATTTGATGTGTATTATTGCCTGCATGTGTGTAAGTGCACCCATTTCATGTAACGCCCTTGGAGGTGGGAAGAAGGTATAGCATTTCCCCTGGAAAACTGCAATTATGGACGGTTGTTAGCTGCCATGTGGGTGGCGGAATTGAACCTGGGTCCTAAGAGCAGTTAGTGCTCTTAGCCACTGAGCCACCTCACCGGTACCAACATTAAAGAAAAACAAAACAAACAAGCTGGGCATGGTGGCGCACACCTTTAATCCCAGCACTTGGGAGGCAGAGGCAGGTGGATCTCTGTGAGTTCAAGGCCAGTCTGGTCTACATAGTGAGTTCCAGGACAGCTGGGGCTGGCAGGGAGACCCTGTCTCAAAAAGACCAAAAAAAAAAAAAACAAACAAACAAAAAAAACAAACAAACAAAAAACCAGAGATTAAAAATCTGTGTTCATATGTGAGAACCACTCATTTATATTGTGTGGTTTTTGTGTCTTTTGTTCGGTCTTTATGAGACAAGGTTTCCTGGTAGTCCTGCTGGCCTAGAGATCTGCTTGCTCTGTCTCCCCAGTGCAGGGATTAATGATGTATGCCACCCCACTTGGTCCTTATACCATGTTTTAATTATGGTCTTCCACCTGAAGCCAGAGGTACAAGGAAGAGCCATGTCTTGTAGAGAAGATCCTTCAGTCCCACTTACCGGGTAGGCATGTAATAGCCCAGGAGCCATAATATATGGATTAGGCAACAATGGCGGAACTCCAGGAGGGAGGTTGGGAGGAGCCTTTCCTAAAAGAAAGTAATTTTATGCTGTCAGTTGTTTATTTCCTCTATGCCAGAGGAATGCCACCCACCTACACGAAGCTACCTGAAGTCGTAGCAACTGAACTTCGAGTTGAGGCTGTGACAGTAGAGTTGCTGCCTAGGCTAAGGCCCAGACTACTGCCACTATTCAGACTGGAGGAGACACTGACCACAGGGGGAGGTGCAGAAACTGTGCTGGACGTGGTAGAGAAAGTGCTGGAGGAAGAATGGAGATTCGCCTCACTCTCCACACTTGTGTGCTTCAAAAGGGGGAAGCAGTGGAAGACAGAAAGACAATTAGCAACATAGACCATAGGTTGCTATTTTTCTTAAACCTATGATCGTATCAAATTCACAATTAAAATGGCCAATACAGGTCACGAGGGTGCCCTCTGCCAAACTAGAAAGAATCTCTATGTTCCTTAAAATTTCCAAGTACACATCACCCTCCTTGTTCAGAAAAACAGAAAAGGTAGTAATAACAAATTCCATACAGATCAACACTAGTAAGGAATAAAGCTTAGAACTAAAAAGTACACCATAGCTTTCTTTCCCGCAAGTTGCTCCACTAGTTCTATAGTTTGGCTGGGCATGGTGGCACACTCGTTTAATACCAGGACTTGGGAAATTAAGGCAGATGGATCTTTGTACATTTCAGGCAGGTCAGCCCTAGCTACGCATAGTGAGGGCCTGTTTGAAAAATAATTAAGGGCTGGAGAGATACTGCTCTTGCAGAGGATCTGGGTTCAGTTCCCAACACCCACATAATAGCTCACAGCAATCCATAAATCCAGTTCCAGGAACTCCACTTTTGGCCTCCACTAGCATTGCATACACATGGTGCACTTATATACTTGCAAGCAAAATATACACATGAAATAAAAATATAAAAAATAATAAA